TTCTGTATTTCTAATTTTTATTTTTAGTTTCAGCACCATTTTTTGAATCAATCTATTAAAAAGAAAAAAAAATCAAGAAAGCTAACTACATGAACCTCTGTCTCCTAATAAGTAACTCTGCCTGTCACTTTCAGAACATATCAAACTAACCTAATTGTATCTGAAGCCCAGAGGGCTCTGATTAAAGAAAACACCAACTTTGACAGGAGATCTTTATTATTTGTTTAGTTATAGTTAAACATAATGAAACCTGACAGATGTGGCCCGTTGAGTATGGATGGATGGATGGATGGATGGATGGATAGATGGATGGATGGATGGATGGATGGATGGATGGATGGATGGATGGATGGATGGATGGATGGATGGATGGATGGATGGATGGATGTTTTATTTTTAACAGTTAAACAAAATCCCTTCAATTTATCTTAAAGATCCTTATCCGCTATCATAGAAAACCTGGGATATTCAGCTTTTATTTTAGGCTCTAAAGCTCAAGAATCTGCAAAAAAAGAGTAACTTTTAAAAAATATTTTATGTCTATGTTTAACACATTTCAACCCCAGTGTCCAAAGCAGAACCACAGAAGAGACCCTAGTGTTAAATAAAGCAATGATTTGGACTAACTTTGCTTTAATTATGGATTTATTATCTGATACATGTCACATCTTTTAATAATGTATAGCTGCCAAACACTTAAAGGAATAATATACAGCTGTACTGTTAAATACTAATATTAATACAAATTTGAATCCCAAATAAAATTATGATGCAGTCTTCCCTTGCAGTTATGTTTACCCTACAGTATATCATTTCTTACTGCATATTTGAACAATAACATGAAAAAAATAATAATTTAATAGATCTGGCTGATAAATAGATGCTGCATACTTTTGGATTTTCATTTCCTAAACTCCACCTCATCTTGTTCTGGTTGTGTTGTGCGAGTGTTGTGTGTGTTCTCCACTCCTATACAGGAACTATTTCTGGTGCAAAACCTTTGTAAATTGTAGATAAATTTCTATCTTTCACATATAGAAAAGAACTTGTATGAATGACACTCATAATGAGCATACTCTCCCAATAATATAGTTATAAAAAGGAAACCTACATTCTGTAAACTAAATGAGCAGATTAAAAAAATGGAACAACACCTTAATGAAAGTTAAAGGAACAGCGCAGTAAATCTAATTTTTTCCATCCTTTCTTTCCATCTAGGAAGAAAACTGCAGAAATGTTAAACTCTAACTATTGCAACTGCAGCAGTACAGGATAGTGTCCTCACCTTATCAGCAAGAATATACTTTCAAAAGCATTTGTCAATATTGTATTGAGTTTGCAGGAACCTCTGCTGTATCTGTCACCAGTTACCACCAATTCACACATAGTTTTGCTAAACATATCAAGATGACATATCAGACAAAATTAGGAGCACTAAAAATAAAGTGTGATTTGTAAAGCAGAGTCTTGACTCACATTAGCAGATTTGTGAAGTTGTAAAAGCGGAAGAGGTGTGACTGTTGTTTTGTTTGTGAACAACCGAAATGATTCTGCTATTACAAGTTAAAACTAACAACGAATAAATAAAAAACAGAATCACCTCCATAGGTTTCTTTAGGGCACAGAAGACCCAGACAACCATAGCAATAGAAAACAGAAGCAATTAGAAAAGCTCAGCAGCAGCATGTCAGCATCAACTGGCAAAGAACAGAGTAACACCAGTAGATGGAAAAGGGAAGCATTTATAGCATACATTTGAGATTTGAGCATCTATTCCTTCATCTATTCCGTTTCACTGTTGGAAATGAGTCAATCATTTAAAACTAGATGGCATAATCCCTGTGAGTCAGATAAAGTGAGAGTGAAGGGTGACAGGAAAAGCTGAAGGGAAGATGGAAGAGGACAGAAGAATCTACTCAAAGGGAAAGTAAGAAAAAAAATGATTCAGCAGCAGCGAAAAAAACTCTTCAGTGATCACAAAACACTCAAATCCATCAGTCCAAGTCCCAAATATGGTGACAGAAGGATGTTCTTAATTTCTTTATAACTAAAATAACATAAAAAAACACAAAATGCAGCGTAAAATGCAGCACCATGTGGGCGGGAGCCATCAAACATCTGAGCTTTGTAAAGCTGAGCTTTTTTTCTTTTTCACTGTATGTAGCTAAAGTCGTCTTTATCAACAGCTCATCGGGCTTTGAAACACTTTCTCCTTTTTTCCCCACCCATCCATCAACATTGGTTTAAAAGATGACAGAGAATCTGTGAGCTTGGAAGCACAGCAAATTAAGGCTGGTTTGAAACATATCCACAGCTCAGTCCAATAATATTTAAAAGCTCATTCCAGTTTCTAACGTTTGCTGTTGTTCTGGTGCATGTATTTCCTTTTTTCTATTTCTTACTGAAATTTGACCCAGAGTTACAGAATCATCCAGAATCTCACCCAAGGGCCAATTTTCCCTGAAGCCGCTGCTTTCCGCAGAGCGCTCTCTCTCCTCTTTCAGCCGCTGTCATTATCAGCTAAACATCAGGTGCAACAGAACACATCAGCAGAAGATTACCACTAACCTCACTAATCAGCTTTTCCTCCCTGTGTTTACTGACTGCATCCCTAAAGGCCTGGTTTTATTTAACTGCTGCATACTAACCTTTAAGTACAATTTTCTGTCTCTTTGACGCTTCATTAATTCAGCTTGGAAACGAGAACCTGTGACTAATCAGAGTAAGGAAGGCTGCCGCCTACAGAAGAACAAGTGCTCTGTATCCATCATCCTTCACTTTCAGCATTTCTGTTGCAGCCTCAGGATGTTTCAGGTGGATCTTTTCTTAAAAAATAACCATGTAACCATATCTTCTCTCTGCATTCTGTGGAAAACAGCAGTCTGGCTGCATCACACTGGAAAAAAAAAATCCTGCCTCTTACACCTCGGAGAGTGTTGACAAAGTGTTTTATTCACACTCGCGCTACGGTGTCAATAACCTGTTGGAACGTTGTCACCATTTCATCTAAAAACAGCCCGTCTGAAGACGGAGTTTGGTGAGAAGCTGCAGAGGTGTAACCGTGCTGGTGGCTGTGAGCAGTGAGCCGATAATTAGAACAATTGCAAGTAAGGAATCCTCAATCAGTTACAGAGACCAAGTGGATCTATACAGATAAAGAAAAAAAACAACAAACAGGAACAACTGGATTTTGGAAGCTGTAATATAAGACCCCCAAAGCAACAGATAATGGTTCAACATGATCAGAAAAAGTCTAAATCTGTCATACCCACAATGATTATTCAGTGAACAGACTCTCCCCTGGCTGGATCTCTGCAGCTCCTCCAAAGAAACCACACTATTTGCATTCTTCATGTTTGGATTAAAGCTTTCTATCCCTCAGTGTGTCTCATCTGTTTTCAGTGCCAGAGTGGGTCAGTATTTGGTCTCTTCTTTCTCCATGATGTTCAAATCTGTAGATGTTCTTTCTCACAACTTATTCCCTGACTTGTTGGCCGACTTTTTTATGGAATTTATTATGTTTTCTGAATAAACTCTTAAACCTTTACAGAAGAGCTGCATTTAGGCTATGCTCACACTGCAGCCTGAAGTGACCCAAATCCAATTCTTTTGGCAATATGTGACCTGTTTCAGATCTCTTCATGACAGTCTAAACAACACTGATCAGATTTTATCATAAGCAACCAAGGCCACTCATCTATGTTTTTAAATGCAGAATGTGTCTGAACAGCCAGGTCGCATTCATTCGACCTGTACATCAGTATTACTCTACAAAGGTCACCATTCGGTGTCTTGCTACCCAGAAATGGGTAGAAAAACAACAACTATTGCAGACGAAAATGCGGAAGGCATTGGACAAGAAATGAAGGATTGCAAGATGCGCTCCAGCACTAATGTCCATGTTTACTTCCTTAAACACAGAACACGCTCGCCAGCTGTGACGTCATTACATACTCTATTGCAAATGCCGGACATTAAAATCACATATAAGTCGCATATAATTAGAAATGTGAACAACCACAGAAAAATTCAGGTAAGATTGTTTCATGTCTGTGTGAACAGTAATGAAAGAAGCCAAAGTCATAGAATATTATTTTAAATCCAATGTGGGGCACAATTGTATGTGTTTAAAATCTGATACAGTTCAGCTCTTTTGGGGATCTTTCTGTGGATTTGAGCAGCCAGGTGACCCGAATTACTGTGACGATGATGTCACTCTGTACTGAGAGCGTGGAGCAAAAAGAATTCAAACAAACATGGAGGACAGCATGGAAGGAGGTGTACATTGGAAAGGACAAAGAAATGTTGGAATGAATAAGTATTTGGGCAGATACAATGATTCAAAAGAAACTTGAGAGGTCATACAGAAACAGGTCATTTGGCTATGATGCTGCACCTCGAATTTCTGCTCTGAGACGTTGCTACCACTGCTCCTCCAAAAGCCTTACTTAATAGTTTAGCTCTCTTTCTCATCTATCTCCTTTTCCACATTGTCTGCTGTATTATGCGACTGCTTCCAGGGATTAACAACTTTAAATGCATTCATAGGCACAGACTTCTTACATGTCTTGTTATTGTTCTTCCGCACATGCGGGTCACTTCAGGGATACAGTTTGACGGTCATGTGAACAGCCATGTAAAGAAAAATCTGACAAAATCGGACAAAACATCTGAATTGAGCATTAAGACCTGCAGTGTGAATGAAGCCTTAGATCAGCTATGTTTACTGATGGCAGACTATTTCAAAATCTATTGCCTTGTGTTCTATTAAGTGGTATCACGGCCTAATACAAATGTGAGCCATTATTTGGATTCGACGTGGGGAAAAATCCCAATAGTACAATAAACTATGTGATTTTACGTCACCATATTTATATGAAAAAGTTCAAGGGTTGTAAACATCTTTACAAGGCTCTGTTTAATTTAGAGATGAAAACATTAGACAGTATCACAGAGAACAAAGATTAGGTTGGCGGAGTATTTCAGACCAAAAATCTTACCGCCACAGCTTCAAGGATCTGTTTGATGACATGGGCTGCGTCTCTTTCGCTGTAGTACCCCCGCTCCACAATCCTGCAAACCAAAATAAAAACAACAGGGAAAGAATCAGCAACATCTCAAAATGGCAAAAAAAATCTCTAAAATAAAAACTGTGGATGATCTCGTTTTTTGCAGATTTAGTAACTGAACTTGCAATTAAACCAACTATTGCAAAAGTTAAACAGAAACTGGTAGCTAAAGTGGCCCCCACTACTGCAAAAAAATAGCAAATTACACCATATCAGCTTTATTTATAGGGCACTTTAAAGCACCAGAGTGCTGTAAACAGAATCAATATACAGCTGTCATGTGATGCCATAATAAACCAATGTCGTAAAGAGACCTGAAATAAATAAAACAGCCATATACTGTAATGAGGGATCAAGCATGAACTCGATAAAGCAAACTAAAACTATGTATTTCTCAACTACTAAGTTAAACAAAAATCATTTTTAAGTTAAAATCCTTTAGCACCTGTAAGTCAAGACAACCTCTGAAATAAACTAACCATGGCAACAGAAGCAGCTCCTACAGCTAAGGATGAGAATAAAAGCAAAACACTAGCAGAAAAAAAATCCACCAATGCCAGAAAATACATCTTGTGCTCTTCGTGCCATATTCAGTTCAGTTACAGCTCAATTGTATTAACCAACATGCTTTAATCGCTCAAAGTTGTATTTCCATTTTAGAGTGACAAAGATCCAAAAGGTCATGATTTTTCAAGAATGGAAAAAAAGACAAATTAGGATGATGTCAAATAAGCCCTCTAGCCTCTGACGCGCATCACCAAAGATAAATGATCAAGATACTTAAAAACTGAAACGCTTAAAAGGGTTTGTTGGAGTGCTGTAACTGGATTATTTCTCCATTGAGTAGGTAATAAACAATGGGCCGGATCTATCAAAGGTTTGCGTGTATAAAAACGTGAGCTATTTCACTGCGCACGCTAAAAAATGTACAAACTGATCGATCAACAGCGTGCTAAAAGGATTTGGTCTTTAAAACATGCTAAATAGCGCCTCTTATCCATTTAGTACTTTTTCTGCAATGCATATGCAATATGGGGCGTTTACACGCAAAAGTGCGTCTTGTGGGAGGAGAACATGTAAATATATTAATTTAGCACTAGCAAAGTGATTTATCAAACCTGAAAGCAATTTTTCTAACGGTATCTGACTCTATATTAACACGTTTCAAAAGAAGGTGCAAATGGTCTGTATGTGTAATTGCACACACATGGCAGCGGTTATTGTCGCAAGAAGGAGACATCGAAATGAAGCAAGGAGACGCAGAGAACGCATTTTTTCACTCCATGTGAATATTTTTGGAATGAACGAGGAAATGATCATCAAAACATATCGTTTATCCAGCATTGCCATTTTGGAGCTGTTGAGGGAACTCCGAATGGATTTGGAGCCAGCCACAAGGAGGACCCACGCAATACCAGATATCACAAAACTCCTTGCAACGTTGCACTTTTTTGCATCTGGGTCATTCCAGCGTATGGTTGCAGCAAGAGCTGGGATCTCCCAATCTCGTTTTTCAGAAGTGCTGTCCGACGTTCTAATTGCCATGTCGCCCTGACGCCCTTTACAGAGAACCCCAACCTCCCCCCTGCGCCTGTGGAGCAACATGCCAATGCAGCGGGGATGCGTACGCGCAGTAATCTCATCCACAGTCACTTCTTGTGAGCCATTTGGTATGTGCATTTTTCTACAGGCCAATACAAAACACCTGTTTTTTGTTTTTTTTTACTGCAGTGAAGTAGAAATTCAGCCACATACCACCTTAGGGAATAAAGGTTGCCAAAGTTTATATATATATATATATCTTGTACAAACTACTTTGCCACAAACCACAAAATGAGCAAAACCATCGTTTAAATAGGGCGTCTCCAACAGTTTTGCACCTGCCACCAGTTACGCAATCACTCTTGTTAAATCACCCGCAAACCATGGTTCAGCCTCTCGCGCAAAATTCCAGTTTGCGAGCGCAAATTACTGCACGCAAAATTGGATCTTGATAAATCCGGCCCAATAACTTACGGTATGTCCAAATATGGATTAGAACATGCGTAAACACATAAAAAGTTTATCTTAATCTTATCTTTTTTATTTGTTGAATGATCTTTTAATTGTTGTCAGTCTAATGTCCTATCAGAACCAAACATATTGGGAGAAAAATATTAAGTCTGAATCTGGCAGCTCTATAAATAATGTGGGACCTGACTGTATAGTTCTGGGTTGTCTGCAAGTTTTAACTAATCCTCACAAAGAAATTCACAAAACTAAATGCATAAACCGCTCCAAATAAATCCAACATCTTAGGTAGCAACTGCAACTTCTGCAATTGTAGCAACCATGGCAACAGACCAAATACTGAGAGTGAACTTTGTTTAAACATTCAGGAAACACAGCTGAACACAGTAACCTCCACAAATAAATCAGTCACCAAAACAGCAGCAACACTTACAGAATGTTTGACTCTTTTAACGAAACCAATGTGCGACAAAACTAAAACTGGCATCATTTTCTGTAGCTGAAACCCCCCAAAATGCCTGCATCAAAAGATTACTTCTAGACCAAAACCAGTGAGTACAAAACAACAAAGACATATAGTATAACCAAAGACTGCCAAGATGAAATTGAAAGGTGAATACAACTGAAACATTTCTCAATTAAAAAACAAAACAAACAAAAAAAACAGTGCAGCAACAACCGAAAACAGCAACTCCTGCAACTAAATCTAAAGCAGGATCTTGCTTCACACTTCAGATACTGGAGCTTGGCTGATAAAAGTTGCTGCAGCAGCAATGGAAGAACAGGTTCTGTAATTCAAGAGAAGCTGCAGAAAAGGACCTGCAACAAAGAAGTCTTGTGAAAATGGACCAACTGCGGCGATTAAACATCTGCAACACTGGGGCATCGTCAGAGGACTAAAACCAGCACATATAACTGAGACTGAATCTGTACCTGCAGGGATTTATCAGGAACACAGAACAACATGCAACAGTAAAGCACATTTAAGCTGCTGTTGACCAATCGAAACATGTCTGTCCTTACCGGTCAAAAAGCTCGCCTCCTGTCACCAGCTCCAGTACCAGAGCGATGTCTGTGTCCGTCTCAAAGATCTCCTTCAGCTGGATCTGAGTCAGAAACAGACAAAGAAAAAGATCAAGCAGTCACCTGATATTTTTCAGATACAAAAGACTAAAGTTACCAGTAGTTTCTTAATCCAGGATTGAAACAAAATTAGAGTTCAATTATTCTCTGTTGAGGGACCCTTTAAAACCATGACCAAAGAGAAAATCGTTTAACTAGAACTCAGTTTATGAGTTCACCGTTTCAGAGCACTTAAGATGATCTATTCCCAGATTATTTTTTATAAAGATAGATGAGCCCCCAGATGTCCTCAGATGGACACTTCAGATAAGACCAATCCTACCGTTGGATACATTTAAACACAGTCGTTGATTTACATCCCACTATGACTCACTAATGTTGGCTCTGACAGTAACAAATCCGCTGTTGCTGTAGAAACCAGAAATGACTCCTAACACTTCATATCTCTGCAGCAACCACAAAACAACACCTCAGTGATGATCCACTGCAACTGTGTAGATGTAACAGTTACCATCCACCTCTGCTTGATCACAGAGATTCTTAAGCAGCTAGTTTTATAGTCAACAACATAATGCAAGGGAATGTCTACTGTAGCCACATGGTCATTCAGAAGGGAATCCTGAAAATAAAAATATGCAATAAGCTGGTTTTACTTAAATAGAAAAACATGTGACCAATCCACCTGAGTGGTTTGATGAATGTATAAACTCTTTGGAACACAATTAAACCTGGATGTTAAGTTGATCTGGAGCAGGCTAGATGCACAGAGTAAATATTCAGGGTAACTTATGTGTCACTTTTTATATTAAACCAAGTTCAGGTTTAAGTAAACTGAAATATATGAAAAATCCTGTCTTAATCCCTTTAGTTTAGTGAAATAGCCCTGAGGCTGTAAGGTTTGTTGTAAAAAAAAAAAAAAAAGAAAAAAATTCAAGATAATGGAAGTTTGCTGCCCAATAATACAAACAGAAGCTAGGGAAGGCCTTAAACAAATATTCATTTGTTTATTTAATTATCCACTGTTGTATCCCCAATGTGGATGTTATTTTTTATTGCATTGAAGTAATTCCTTGTTCTTGTTTTAAGAACAAGATTGAGCGCTGCCTTCTGTGTCTCAGTCTAATCAGCAATGATCTGCTGACTGTAAGCTGCACTTTTGCCATACATCCCTGTTGGTTGTGTAAGCTTGAAAGCTTTATTGTGAATTTGTTCTTATGTGAACATGTTCAGATGGATTTGGTAGGGGAGAGCTGCCTTCTTGTCTAACCCTAGTGGGAACTGGAGCACCCTGGGAAAACCCACACATGTACAATGATAAAGCAAGGCCCACTGTCACAGCTTGGAACACACAACAGTTTGGTGGAACTGCTTATCACTGGTTAAATCCTATCTTTTTGCAAAAGTTTACTTTTCTTATGATCTATTTGTCACCCAATACAGTGATATCAAATCCTGTTTATAATAATTGACTTTGAAGCAATCTCTCTTCCTAAGCAAAGGTGCAGCAACAGTAGACAGAAACCTCCTTTAAGCCCCCTGTTGGCCTCTGCAGATGGCCGCTCACACTGTGCCTGGTTCTGCCGGAGGCTTCTTCCTGTTAAAAGGGAGTTTTCCTCACTACAAGCATTCTTGGTCTGAGGGATTGCCTCCGAGTCAATGAGTCGATGCAATCAACTGTTTTTTCTTAGATATAAATCTTTGAACAAATCTGACTGTATGATCTAGTTAAATGTGCTCTGTAAAGTTCCTTGAGGTGAAGTTTTGTGAATATAAATAAACTCAATTGAACTGAAAATTGAAACCTGAAACATGAATTTTCATCGGTGGAACTAATAATTTTTTGTTTGTTTTGTTTTTTCTTTTTGGTTGTTGGTTTGTTTTCCAGTTGAAACTAAAGCATTCTGGGGAATCCTTCCATTGCACAATGATAAATAGGAACAATGTCACATTTCTAAAGAAACAATGATTTAGTGGTACTGAAGTAACCTCACAAGATGGAAGCAATGCAGGTGTTTCTGATGCGGTCCTAGAACTTTCACTTAGGTCGGTTCTGTTGTTAGAACTTGCTGTATTCCTGGATCTCCAATATGGGTTACACAGATGGGTTACAGTACACCTAAAGGAATTCCAGTCCCCGCTGTCTCACTTAAAGCAAGATGATATCTTCTCATTAGAATAGAGATCACTCTCATAACCGCTTGCCAACTTTACATCAAAATCATACAGATTTGCTTCGCCCACCAATTTAACAATTGCTGATCAGAACAATCACAGGGGAACAGCTCTTCTCTGAGCTAAAAACAGATTTAAGTGCATTCTAGACTCCACATATCTGCACTTTGACCAGGTTTATTGAGTATATGCATCTCTGGAGGGAGGTAAACAACATGGTTAATAGCCATATCTATAAAATTGTCTTCCCTGTTAAAAAAAACACATCTAAATTAATTTCCGTTTTAACAAAGAGCGGTCAAACAGCATTATTTTTATGACAGGGTACTCCATAGGGTAAACAACACTGCAGTCTGATCATCCAAAGGGTCTCAGTGATTTTTCATACTTGTTAATCGGGCAATGTACCCCAGATAGATTTGTACCTCAAACAAGACCTTAAGTAAAGCTATGGCCATATTGCAAATTATCTGATTTATCACAGATACTGTAGGTGGAGGCTTTGGTTCCCACTTCCTGTATGTCTTTAACATGAGCAATGGACTATTTTTATTGTGGAATAACTCTTAAAGACTTGACAAATATTTCCTTTATGATCCAAGGCATAACTTTAATTTGTCTTTTTAAAACTTGAGGTCTAACTAGGATTTATCCAGACTGTTGTAGTCTTGTCTAGACTTGTGAAATGATCTGCCATGATTCTCTGAGGCTTGTATCTCCATGATTACTACTGGACCTGTCTAAACTGTAACCTGATTATGGATGGAGGTGATGTTTTTTCAGGTATGTCCGGATACATTCCTATGTCAAAGGCATCTAAGCACATCCAAATTCCCTGGAATACAGAGGAATACAGACTTTACTTCACATTTGGTCAGGATGACATAACACCTCATCTTGTATGGTTTAAGCTGATTTTGGATGTATCGATCCAGGATCTAACTCGTTTGGTTCTATTCTGTATGTGATACCTATAGTTGTGGGTTGGATGTAGGTGGGCCAGTAAGTTCAGAGCTTTTCCTTTAAACCATCTTAACCTGTTTGCCAAAGCCAGTATCACCTTTTTAGACACCTGATGGTAATGCAATAAACAAAGTAATAAAAATAGACTGATTTAATCCTTACAATAGCTTGAAAATTTAGCTTTGCACAAAACAAAGGTAGGTGCTTACAATGTTTGGATGGGAAAGACGAAGCAGGACTCCGATTTCTGTGCGCACAATTTTCTTGTCAATCTGCAACAACAACGGGGGAAAAAAACACATCAGTATGTAGTACTTTAGTAGCAGAAAGAACATTTCAGATTAATCCAGTTTTACCCTTTGACCTTATCTGTTAGTTGCACACAAATATTTTAATCATTCGCATTGAAGGTTAAGAGGGTTCCAGAATTTGGAGGGAGGGCAAAGTGGTAAAGAAAGAAGGGCTCATATGAATTAATGTAGTTCAGTATGTTTTAATCCGGTGGTTTTCTTGTGCCATAAGCGTTATTTCTGCATCATATTCTTAATGTAGACTTCACTACATGCACGCAGATAATGTTTGTGGCAAGTTCCTAAATGTTTAAAGAGATACACAGAAATCATCTCCTTGCAGAGAAGGTTATTTTAGGCAGGGTTATAATTCCTCTGGATTTTCAACCACTCTCCCTCTCTTTCCTTTCCTGCCAAGTATGCTGGCCTTTAAAAAAAAACACTTTACCTAACACATGTTTATCAGATTATGTCATGTTACTATTGATTCATTTTTGCAGAATTTGGGCTGGAGCTGCACTCTATCTGACTCACTTCAAGATAAAAAAAAAAAAAAGCTACAGTTACTACTACAGCTAATGTTCACAAACATGACTTATAATATTTCTTTAGAGTACTTTCAGAATACAACAGAAAATAAACACCTGTGAATAAACAGCATGGCAAATAATGTTTTCCTGGTAAAGCTATTTTAGGAGTAGAACTTTCTTTGTAAATGGCTTTTCAATTAGATGCTAACGTTTGGTTTCACACAATAAACTCACTCAAGCATTCTTAAGCATTGACCAAAGATCCAAGAAGATTCCCACAAATCATCTTGGTAAAACCTTTTTTTATTGCCCACATTATAAATTATAATGCTTGGCATCATTCTTGGTAATGCCTGGATGAATTATTAAGATCTTATCAAATGATAATGTGTGACACAACAACAGACATGCTGGGACATGGCTTTTCTCCTCGATTAAAGAAGCAACTGAACACAGATGTTTCTTGGAGGAGTTATCTGTTTTTGTCAAGACATATTTCAACCAGAAATTAATGTGACCTTCAGAAATGGACTTATCAAAGAAGGCACATGATTTAAGGATCTCAGAAGCGTCAAACTCCCACACTAGAGAAGTGGGTTTTTTATTTGTTGGAAGTTCAATTAATTTCACCTTCAGTCTCCTGAAGGTAAGATATTTAGCTTTTTCAGTTTAAATAACTGTTTACATCTACAAAAAGCAAAACTATTCACATAGAAGACATTTCTTACTGTCTATACATTATATATATCTGTCAGCCTACAACATGCTCAGTATAATTCCCATTCTATGAATACAGCATAATGATTTGGGTCATTTCTGCAGCATGCTACAGAATTTAAAACTAACCGTCTTCTTGAGGACTTTGACTGCAAAGGGTTTCTGGGTCTGTTTCTCCTCACAGCGGTACACAATGGATGTTGCTCCTCTGAAAACACAAGAATACTGGAGTTAACCTAAATGCTGCATAGACAGTTGAGACCATGTAAAAAGAAAACAACTTTTCTAATACAGTCGTTAGTCAAAAGTAAGCAAAACTCTTGAAAAATTTGTCATTCATTCCACTTCATTAAGTATCTCCAAGAACATACCCCTAACATCCGGCCTGGAGATGGTTCTGGGTAGAAGTGTACCCAAACCTGCTTACGGTTTTATGTGATCAAAACATTAAACAAAGAGCTATTGGCCATGAAATGACTGCCTTGTTTGTGTGACAGTGCACCTTGTATAAACCACATTCAGGCTTTTTGGCTGCAGAAATCTGGAGGTGATGTAAAGAAACCAAAGCGAATTTGCTGCTGGAGAGCTTAGTGTTTCACTGAAGGCTTTTTGTCTAATAAAGGTTCATCAAATACCATTTCTAGACTATTTGAGTATGGAAATGTTATACCTTTTTACTTACTTTTCATTTTAAAAGACCATCTGTTGCGTACCTCTTATTCATTATGACTAAAATCCAGTCCAAGGAACGGTGATGAAGTATATTTTCCCCTGAATTCCTCCACACACCCAGAACTTAACTCTAAAACTGTGAAAAAAGGTCTGGAGTATTTCTGCCATCCTGCTCATTTAAGATAAAGAGGATCATTTTGGGTGTTTTGACCCAAAACACCTCCTCTCAGTGAGATTTCTCCTTTTCTTTTCTGGTACTTTTCTTACAAATCTGCAGGGCCATAACTTTGTTTCAATCAAGTCATGGCATTTTGAGAGACATGTTGACATTCATGCATCCTTAAAATAATAAATGCAGTTCATATAACAGCAAGCTGACAAGCTATATGAACTGATTTTAACTTGTCAGTTTTTTTCAGAGTGGCAGAACCTGACAAGACTGAAAGGGGAGATTTATACTTTGCAAATGCACTCATAGAAAAACACATTAACTGTAGAAATCTTGTTGTCTGATTACGTAAACTACAACTGAAATTTAATTGAATCAACATCTGAAGACATCAACCAGGAAGTTGAAACTTGAACACAAATGGGTCTGGCACATTAAAAAAGCCCCGATCTTTAAAGCTGTTGAAATTTGTGTGCAGAGGTGCAAAGATGTTTGTCAGAAAAGCATAATAAGTGCAGACAGGGCGCAGTATGTTTACAAGGTATATTCCAGGGTAATGCCCTGTGATAGAGCGCTATCAGAACCAGTCAGCGCTCACTAGGTCATTTCACCCTTGCTGAGCTGCAGATGAAAAGAGTCTGAGTTTTCTTGAGTGTGGTGTAGGCACTGCTAGCCAACCAGAGTGACAGGGACGTGTCATAAGCTTTTGCGAGAGCTGTTAAGTAGATGGGAGCTGTTCCATGAAATGCTTATGGCTGACAACAGTGACTAAATAAGTACAGACCATTTACCATTCATTTCAATGGATGCAGCTAAGAATAGCTCATGGAAGGCTAGTCTTTTAGCTGATTGAAGATATGGTGGGATCATATCATAGGTTTCACAGTAATGCAGTTGTGAAGGGAGGAGATAAACATATACTGCACCAGGACACAATTCAAATTCAGAAACTTCCTAAATTACAGTTCCTATAATTATTATGGTAAATATAGTCCCTGTAGGTATTAAGCTGGGGGAAAGAAATCACCACAAACTTTCAACTTGAGTTTTAAACAGTTTTTAGTTTAGTTTTTATCCAGTAATCCATAAGACCCTGGTTTCTCTGAGCTTAAAGGTATAGAGGACGATCTTTAATTTCCGGGTGGATCATCTAAATAAGTGGTCCTCCTAATATATGTACGGTTACAGACGGTCATTGAAGGTCACCCCTATCTTTTCATGGAGACAAAAGTTGAACTGAAGTACAATTTGTTGTTTTGTTTGCATAATTTTAGCAAATAAAGCTGACTCTGACGCTGATATCCGTGTACACTTGTGATTAAAGCTGTGATAATCAACAAATTGTTGTAATTAACTGGAAAATTGATTTACAAATCAACATTTATTTCAAGTATCTTGATTATTAGTATTATCTCTGTGTGATAAATGTAATAAATTGATCTCATGTAATCAAAATGTTTGAAAATATGATTGTTTTTTCTATACGTAGCAAATGTATCACACATTTCTTGTTTTTTTTATCACTTTATGGTAAATTCAGGTGAAATTCAGAATTATTGGTTGTGTGGGGGTTTGATTGTGGAGACATATTATAGGGGAGGTGTTTGCATGCATGTGTGTGTTTATTTTTTTTTTTAATGGGGGGGGGGGGGGTTGTTCTGGTTTTCTGCAGTGACAGATGGAGAAAACAGATCCATCAAAGCAATCACACTCTTCCATGCAGGGACCTGCACCTGGCTGTTCTCCATGGCAACGGGACACCATGAAGCTAAGCTGTGTGTTTTAGAATCCACTGCTGACACTGGTTTAACGTTTCATGCTCACAGAGAGACGCAAATAAACAGCAAACACAGACATGATCTGTACACACAGAAGACTACTCCCAACCATGGTGTGAAAAAAACACAGAGAAGTATTAAACCAGCGGAGCGAGTAGGTCTCTGTCACATACGGCCGCGTGTTTTCTCTCAGCTTTGCACTGATGACACAACAAATAAACAAACCTTGGACAGCAAACATCAGGCCACAGAGAGGAGGCAGTACACAAAACATACACACAACTTCTGCATTTGCATGGCACGTCTATTGCATTCAACAAATGTACAGTACGGTACTAATGTTTCATTTGAACAGTTTGTTGTTCTTCTTTTTTATTTCCTGTAGTGTATAATTAGCTGCATGATCTTTAAAAACCAAGAAATAAAATCCACAATTTACTGTGAATACACATTTAAAATTAAACACAGCCCTACATATAATTGGTACATTAATGCTAACTAAATTAAATAAAAAATATTTCTAGCAGTATATAATGAGACAGACCTAATATCTCACTTGTTACACTCTTTAGAGTATTTTGGACTGCTCAGCTACATTTGCCCAACCTGCTTGGACTACTGCCCAAAGCCTTCTATATCCTCCTGGGGCCTTGGCTAAGCTACCCACTATCACCATGTCTGGGAGATTCTACCAATTCGCCCAGAAGCTGCTACCTCCAGGAGTGCCTCCACCAGTCCAATTAGACAACTATAAACCCTTTTAAAATAAAGAGAGACAAAAGTCAACTAAGTTTTAGCAAATCATCCTATGACCTAAACCCAGAAAGGTTTAGCAGAAGGTAAAGAGAATGCAGTTATGAACAGAGGTGTCAAGTAACGAAATACAAATACTTCGTTACTGCACTTAAGTACACTTTTTTAGGTATCTATACTTTACTCCATTACTTATTTTTCTTCTTACTTTTTACTTCTACTCATTACATTTTCACACAAGTATCTGTATTTTCTATTCCTTACATTTTTAAAACAAATGTTACTCGTTACTCTTCTCTTCAGCTTAATGTTGATAAATATTTATTTCACGCCATGTGCGCCATCCAATGCAGATCATTGGCACCATCCACATCTAGTGAAAACTTGTGTAATTGGATGAGTCATATAATACAAACACTCATTGGTTAGCTAAAGGAAATCATCAGAAGCAAGCAGGTGTTCTTCAAACTGTAAACGTGAATTGTCTATGCCATGCTACAATCGGGAGATGGAGACGGGGACCAACAAGATCTGCCTCATCCTTGGCTCTATCTCAAAGAATCTTTCGAAACAGTCGAAAAATTTAGTTTTAAAATTCATATAGTGGCATCTGGCTGTTTTTTTAAAGGTCACTTTATACTTTTATACTTTCAGTAGTTTTTGAAGTACATACATTTTCCCTTTCACTTGAGTAAAGAGGTCAAGTTGATACTTCAACTTTTACCAGAGTGTTTTTAAACTACAGTATCTATACCTTTACTTAAGTGTGTAATTTTGACACCACTGATCATGAATATTTACCACATATTTGTATACAATGCCAATACAAAGGTGTTTTGGAGAAGTTTTTTTAAGTTTAATATTCTGCTTAGGCTGAATATTAATTTGCTTTTGCTAGCAAAATTTAAAGACCTAACTGATTTTTTTTTTTTGGAGGGATAGGCATGTCTTTTAGGCATATTCTAATATTGCTTTTTTACGTAACCATGTCTGATGCTCCAGCTGTCTTCTTGATGCAACCTACTGAGTCCAGGTTCCAACGAACACGCTCTGACACTGAGGTAGAGTTTGGGAAATTTTAGGTATTAATCCAAGTATATTATTTCATTACCTTTGAGCACTGGCATTTAAACAGCCCCACATAATGATACTGCCTTTACCATGCTTTGCAGTTGTTACAAGTGTATAGGTTTCATATTGACTCTATTTGTTGTGTAAAAAGTTACAATTCTTTTTCTAATGCCTTCACTGAGTTCCTTGGAGTTTATTTTTAGTAAATCCAACGAGTGGTGCTCAAGATCGGCTTTATACAGCAAATGCAAAATAATTTTAGCTGCAGCTGCAATCACTCTCAAAAACAATGGGTCAGATAAATTATTTAAGACTGAATATTTAATATTTGATTCATGCAGATGACGATCGGTTAATAACTACAGACTTTATCAGAACATTTTTGTAAGGAAACAAAAAAGTCCAGGCATATTATCAGGATTCAACTAAAACTAAATTGAATTTATGATTTTATTGAGCTTTCCATTCATGATTTATTAGAAATAAAGTTTTTGGTGCCATTTTTTTTTAACCCAAGAGACCAAATATTTTTTTCTTTTAGTGTGTTTTTCTATTATATGTGTTTTTGATATTTATCATTCTCAGTTATTGTCATCTTCCAATAAAGAAATTACCATAGACCAAACAAAAGAAGGGCTGAAATTTTACTAAGGTTTGGAAACTAATCTGTGTTTTGCAAAAACTAGTCCTAAACATTTGGAATCTGTTTAACAGAATTTTTCCTTAACATTCCAACAAAATTGAGATACTTTCAAAGTTTAAGATAAAAAATTAAAAGATAAAACGAGATCTTTTACATCTATTGAATAAATGATTCAGATTTCGAAGGTTTGATGAATATAAACCAATTAGCAAAAAAAATATCTAAATAAGACTACATTTTTTGTTATATGTGCAAAATCTTAAAGTTTAAATATTTATAAGAAAAGGATAGACTCAGCCATCTGAAAATATAGATTTTTATGTAAATATTACTAAAACAGCCATTGCATTGAAACATTATAAACATTAAATGCAATATGAATACTTTAATAATCAATTTGTTCAACCTAACCTCCTATGCAATCCTATTAGAGCCTTTTTCCTGAATATTTACTCTGATAAACCCTCATTAGGGCATTATGAGCCTGCTTTCCTTCTCTGCTGCAAACTGGAAGCAGCTCAGATTTTATTGGTTCCTGGTTGAGCTGAATTGCCCAGTAAAATCCCAGGCTGGATTGTGAAGAGCAGCTGAGTTAATCCTGAATGAGGAGCATCACATGGACCCACATGTGGCCAACTTTGGCCCACACAGAGCTGCGCAACAACCCATCAGTTTCACCCCTTAAAAACTGCAGCCCAGACCTGCCCAGCTCGGAGCCCAGGGCGTAGAAGTCCTCCACCGTCCCGTCCCGCCTCGACCCGTCCACCCAGAACTCCACCGGCTCCGAACCAGGCCGGGAGGTCGGCATGATGCCAGCAGGGCTCCCTGGATCCAGGGCCAACAGAACAAAGTCCAATAACAGACTCGAATCAGTTCCTCCTCAGACCGGATCGGAACCACGAGCAGCGTAATCCAGAGCAGATCCCAGATTTAAATCCAGCTCTGTAAACCCCAGATTAGAGCATCAGAGGAGGGGGGGGGATTCATGATCCTGATGGGTTTTAATCCAGACCAGCAGGGGGGGAGGAGGGGGATCCGCCTGCTCCTTCAAACTCGGAACCAGGACCGTTTAGTCCATCTGCGAAAATACATGAAATAAAACAAACAGAACCGAATCAGTTAGGAGAGAAACCGCCTCTTCAATCAGTAACCAGGACCAGGATGGTCCAGACGCACCAAATCCAGATGTGTCGCAGCTTCCATCGGGCCTCTAAACCTATCAGTTGATCAGCTCAGTCCATCATCCTCCCCCAGGGAATATTTACGTATTTTCGCCGGCAGACGCGGCTGGTCAGCCTGTCCGCAGCGCGGTGTCTTCCTGGCAAAGATCCAGCCCTCAGAGGGAGGACACCACCGGGGAAACACATGCAGCGAAGCCCGGGCTGGATCGGTGCAGGACTGCTGGAGGGTCTGCTTCTCAGGCAGGAAGGACTGCTCCAGATGTCCGCTGCATCCGAGGGGAGAGAGGATGCTGTTACCGTCTGCATCCCTGCTGACCAATCACAGCTCAGCACGCGAGCTGGGGGGCGCGCCCATTGGACCGCTGCCGTGTCAGACAGGACCGCCTCTGTCAGCAGCCTAAATAAGGAAATAACCCAAATACATAAATGTACATTGGCGTGACATCTGGAGGCTTTGATCCTTTGGGAATCACACCAGCAACCCTCACATTGTCACGTGTTCACAGGATCCCATCATCTCTCAGCTGAAACTCATCTTTCTCAAATCACATCATTTATAGATAGATATTTTTCTTAGAATGTAAATATTGCAAAAGCTAAATATTTTCACAAAATAGGTCCGGATTACTATCTAAACAAATTAAAATTATTTTAAAAAAGCATCTTATAATTTAAAGTTTTCACATGTATCATTAATAACACAATAAAATGTTAACCTTTACTTTTTAATTAGAACTTAACAGATTTATTCATTTATTTTTATTTTTTTGGTGGTGGTGGTGGTGGTGTGTGTGTGTGTGTGGGGGGGGGTGGGGGGTGGGGGGGGGGGTGGGTTGAAACAAAACATTGTAAAACATATTTAATACAGAACAGGACTAATGCATTAGTGTTTGGTCAGGCTTATTTTAAGGTTGTGTGAGGTAATTATGTGTAGTTAGTATCCTATCAACAGTGAGCAGGACTCTGAGATGTTGATTAACTTATACATTTGATATTAATGCAGAGAACCCATTTAAGAGATCATTTAAATCTTTAGAAATACAGTCCAAATAATGCCAGTTTGAACTAACAGTGAATAAAAAACAATGAATATTTCTTATTTTACACAAGCTCCTTGCTTCCTCACTTTTTTCTTTACAAGATAACAATCCTGTTTATACCCAGGATTGCATTTACTGCTTCAGCTGACTGTATTCCTATGCTTTCCTGCTTATTGGTTTGTTTCTAATTACACTCTGATTTAATTTGTTTTTCATTTTTGTGGAGGGCACCCTATTGCACTGTGTTTAATTGTGTTTTTATTTGTTTTGTTTTTTTGTTACCTCAGTCCTTATAAAGGTAATAAGAGCTTCTGGTTTCTTCCTCCATCCATCCATTTTCTGTCACGCTTATCTCAAGTGGGGTCGCCAGAGGTGCTGGTGCCTATATCTCCAGCTGTCAGCGGGCGAGAGGCGGGGTACAGCCTGGAAAGGTCGCCAGTCCATCGCAGGGCAACATAGAGACAAACAGGACAAACAACCATTCACGCACACCTAAGGAGAATTTAGAGAAGCCAATTAACCTAACAGTCATGTTTTTGGACAGTGGGAGGAAGCCAGAGTACCCAGAGAGAACCCAACATTTGTTGCTGTAAATAGGGAGTGATTCCACCAAATATCCTTGATCAAGAGGAGGGATTTCTGTACAGTTATTGAACTAATATGTCTGGATCAAAAGAATACTTTAGAATACATAAATTTATGTGTATATTGTGTTACAATCTGGATTCGACTGTTTTGTTAAATCTGAACCTTACTAAAAAATGGGTTGTTTTAGAATGAATTTGACTTACTAGATTCTGTACTATAGAATAGGAATGAGAAATTTTGGTCTTTTGAAACAAGCCAGCAAACCTGCCAAATCAGGTTGTAAATTGAAGCTATATGGATAAACTGAATTGAGTGATGAAACTGTATGAAATAAGATCTATACCAAATAATCCTCCAGAATCCCAAACAATCTTTGACTGCATTCGTAAATCAGAGGCTGAGTGCATAAAAGGTCCGGAATGAGAGCCAGACGTCTCGACAGCCGGTTAGATTATCATCAGTGGGTCCTGTCTGTGCTCACTGCCTGTCAGGTAGACAGCTGCTAAAACACAAGCAGGATTAAAGCAGACTCTTAAATCATTCCGACTTTGAAGTTTATTCTCGTCCGCGCTTCGATCACAGCACCATTACAATCAAGCGTCGCCATGACAACCGATAGAGAGCTGCTGATCGTTGTGATTTAGATGATTTTGAGGACACATTTGTTTCTACGCTAATGTTGCCCCAATCGCTTCTTTTTTATTATTTTATGAGACCCTCAGATCAATGTAATAATCACAATGAATGTGTTATTGTTTTATGTTAATTAGGTCTTCCCATATTAATTTTGTGGCTTTGTGTTTAATCCTATGTTTGTCTCTTTATCTTTAAGATTTTAAATTGATTTCTCTTAGATAAGTGTAATATTTTCCTTTGGGCTATAGTTCACCTTGTGAGTTAGTTCAATTCTGCATGTTGCTTTTACTAAGTTCCCTGCTAGATTATCTCCCTGATGATTTGTAAGCCTCAATAACCTTCTGAAATAGTTATATTAGTCCCCAAGAGCCCCAGATCTCGCTGAGCTGAGCTTTAAGATGTTCTTAAACAATAAAATAGACCTCAGAGCCTCATCTTTGTAGTCAGTGCATCAAAATTAGCCTACTTTTAAATCTATGTCAGAATTTACTGAGCTCTAAAACTCTAAAGCCACAAGGGAGGACTTGCATGTTTACAGACAGACAGACAGACAGACAGACAGACAGACAGACAGACAGGCAGGCAGGCAGGCAGGCAGACAGACAGACAGACAGACAGACAGACAGACAGACAGACAGACAGACAGATAGATAGATAGATAGATAGATAGATAGATAGATAGATAGATAGATAGATAGATAGATAGATAGATAGATAGATAGATAGATACGTGGTGTTCAGTATTTAGAATACCAGTATTCATTAATCGAAGTCCTCCAATTGTTCGGCAACGTTTCATTCCAAATTCCGAGCTACCGTGAATGCTGCACCTTTCATGTTTTTGTGACGTCGGCGTAAGGGGGCGTAAACTTCCTGGTTGGGATTTTACTTTCTGTCAACAGAAGCCGTGACGAAGGTTGGGTCGGATGTGGATGGTCGTTTGGTGCATGGCGCGTGTTTTGAAGCTGCTTATGGAGAAATGTCTTGGGCCGTGAGTAGTGAGGAAACAGGAAGCGATTCTTGTGGGATGGAAGAGGGAAATAGTGACAATGAAGGGTGGAAGATAGCAACATCAAAAAATGAGAAAAAGCGGAAAAAACAGAGATCAGTTCAAGGGGAATCTAGTTCAGAACAATCCAGTGATGATCATTCCATACATTCCACAGCACAACAAAATGAATTCAAAGTCATATTCAAAGTCGTTAATCAGGCAGACTCTTTTACAAATTGGAATCCGGTTCACTTAACAAAAACCATCAATAAACTTGTCGGAGAAGTCAGAGGTGCCAGAATTCTGTACAGTGGAGACCTGCTAATTAACTGCAGAGACAGCGCCCAGCAAGGCAAAGCAATACGGATCAACAAAATTGACGGGATAAGAGTTCAGTGCAGCCTAATGGAGAACAAAAAGATCAGCAGGGGAGTCATTGGAGGAGTTCCTCTAAAAATTTCTGAAAAAGAGATTCTGGAAAACATAAGCGGTGCAAAAGTAAAAGAAGTAAAACGGTTAAAAACAACAAGAAACGGAGAAAGATCTGACAGTTTATCAGTGCTAATTAAATTTGAGGAAGAGCAATTACCAAGCAAAGTATTCATCGGTTACATAAGCTATAATGTCAAAATCTACAATCCTCCACCATTGAGATGTTTCAAATGCCAAAAATTCGGTCACATTGCAGCAGTTTGTAAAGGGAAACAGAGGTGTGGAAGGTGTGCAGGAGAACACGAATATGGTAAATGTGGAAAAGAAGCTATAATAAAATGCTGTAATTGTGGTGGAGAACATACTGCTGCTTATCGCGGCTGTGAAGCAAGCAAAAGGTCTGAGGAAATTAAAAAAATGAAATTTGAGCTCGGAATAACCTACGCTGAAGCTGCAAAAAGGATCCCATCTCAGTCAGAAAAACCCAAACCTACAGTTCAACACACGGCAAATTCCAAACCTCTAGAGAATCAAAAAATTGATGAAGACTCACTTATTGTTAAAAAGACAAATTTTGTTCTTTTCATGGTAGAAGTAATTAATTGTACTGCACAAACAACAAAAAAAACGGAAAAAATCAAAATAATAGTGAAGGCTGCAGAAAAATATCTGGACATTAAAGATTTGAACTGGGAGATGGTTGGAAGTATGATGGGAGGACCGATGGGACCATCAGAAACTGGCAGAGTTAAGATGACCTAGAGTAAATTAAAAATTATATGGGCAAATGTGATTTAGTATTATGTTGGTTTAAGTTACACAGGTTTTTTTTTTTTTTTTTTTTTTTTTTTTTTTTTTTTTTTTTTTTTGGGGGGGGGGGGGGGTGAATCGTTTTCTGTTTTCTTGCTTTACTCCATATCAGTTGGTGGCGGTAATGCACAATTCACAAGTCTGCCAACCGCCATAAAACCCCATAAGAAGAAGAAGAAGAAGCCGTGACGAAGTTCAGCTAAGGCGACGTGTTTGAGGAAAACTTCGGCTCTGTTTTAGTACCGATTCTTTGCTCCGAACCGTTTTGAATTCACTTTTCAGGCGTCGCGCTTCTCTCAGATGTGAAAATGACTTTTTGGAGAGTCCTCCTGGTAGCGACTGTGTCTACATGTTGGCTGATAGTGTCTATCGCCGCAGATGCGGCCCCAACTAACAGCAGCAGCAGTAGCAACATCACCAAGAATGCCAAACCCGTCGCGGTGAACTCCAGCCAGGGAAACTCCTCGCTGGGTAAAAACGAATTGCCCAAAAGCTTCGGGGTGGACGGCTCCATGATCCAGAGGGCCCTGTACGTCCTCATCGGTATCACCATAATCGGAGTCCTTTACTTCCTGATCCGAGCTGTGAGGTGAGAATCACAGACACGAGCTCTCACCTGAACCGCTGTACTGCCAAAACAAGCTCAACTCTACCGAGAGGGCAGTTTTAGAATAAAAAATGCATTTGTAGTCAAACTTAATCAAAGTTCAACTCGTTTGATTTTAATTCGAGGAAGTTTATAAGTTAAACAAAGTTATATATCCGTGAATAAATTCCCAGACACCCGGATCATGGCAACCGCAAACGGACTTTAACTGGAAGGAAACCGAGCTTATATATTTTAAAAGTTGGTGAACATAAAAGCAGCGCCTAAATGTTTGCGTTAAAATGAATGTATTTGAACCCTACCCTTAAATGTTACTATCCAGATAGCATTTTAGAAGAAACGTAGCTTTACTGGCTGATCATCTTCCATGGGGGAAAATGTTGTTATGGCTGCAAAGGTTTTAGCCGTTTGCTGCTGTGGGGCACGCGGCTTTGTGTTTCTGCAAGATTTGGAAGATAGTGGAGGCTGTCAAAAACTGTTGGATTACTTCCTAAATGTTTTAATTAAAAGTGGAAGCCTTTGAGATGACAGCCAATCAGCCCGAGAGTAGAAACTATACCTGAAATCCCAATGAAGGAGTGATTAGAAAAGAGGAAAAACTCATTCAAGACTATAACTGAAGTTGCATCAGGCCTCCTCCTCAGGGATGTCGGGGACCAGGGGCGGATCTATGATTATAGGAGATCAGGGGCTTAGCCCTAAGGGTGAAGATGAGATTTAGACTTTCTTGTAAATCCAGTTCTAATGTAAAATATGACAGATAACTTGATTAAAGAAATTTCTAGTACCGTATACTACATGCTATCACACATAATATGGGAAGAAATTAATTTACCTGCAGGTCTTTAACTGTGTTTATTCCTCTCTTCATCAACAATAAACTCTGTGGATTTGGTGACATTTGATCATTATTTACCAGAGATATGAGAGGGAAATCAGATATTTTAGCCACCTGATATAATCCATTCCCCCCATAACATGGGGAAAAAATTAAAAAATCCTTTGAAGTTTGAAACTGTCATTATTTTTCTATATCATGTTTGAAAAATTATTATTTTATATTTTTTTTAACCCAAAATGGTTAAAATAAATAAGACTATTGATTTAAAGATTTTTATGAATATATTTAATTCTCAATTCAAAATGTCCGGAGTAGCGTTGCTCCAGACATTTTGAGTTGTGAAATCTTTATGGGTGGAAAACGTGTCCAGTGGTTCTGGTTTGAGCTTTTTTGGGGGGGAATATTTGTAAATTTTTAAATTGTTAGATACATTTAAACAGGAAATGCATTTCATTAAGATCATCCAAGGGAGAACGGATTATATCAGGTGTCTAAAATATGTGATTTCCCTCACATATCTCTGGCAATTAATGATTAAATGTCACCATATCAACAGGGTTTTTTGTTGATGAAGAGAAGAATAATCACAGTTAAAGACTTGCAGGTAAATAAATTTTTCCCATGTCATGGAGGGGGGATGGATTATTTCAGGCAGCTGAAATATCCATTCTCTCCTCTCCTCTTCCCATATCTTTGGGAAATAAAGAGCATCTGTTTTCCAACTTTTTACAAATTTGTTATGTGTGATAGCATGTCGTACACTAGAAATGTCCTTAATCCAGTAATCTGTCATATTTTACATTAAGATGGGATTTACCAGCAAGTCTACACTTTCATCTTTTCAGGAAGTCTTCATTTTTGTGTCCTGCTATCAGCCAGTTCACATCATCTTATATCAGTAATAGCGCAATCTTTCCAATAAAGATGCGTTTAGCTCTTGGTTCAGAAGCTTCCAAGTTAGACTCACTTGAGATCTGTCAGATGTTGTTTAATGTGACCATGTAATCAGCAAACTTTCTTTCCTCTTGATCAAGACGCTTTATTTTCCAAAATCAAAACAAACTTAAATTTTCTTACCACAACATGACGTGACAGGCAGATCATATCGGCTCATTTCGTTGCTTTTTGCCACTCAAAGAAAAACAACAATAATAATCAGAAGCGGTCAAAAACTGTATGGCTGCGCTGACTGAATCAAAAAGCTCACCCCGCCCCAATAGCCAACTCCAATATAATCCAGGTGCTGCAGTCACCTGTCCATAATGAAGGGGCGGAGGCGAGAAACAACGTAAATTATGAATGGCAGCAAAACACAACTAAACAAATTCATAATTTCATAATTAAGTCAGTCAACTTATACTTCAAACCAAAATATTTCATGTTCATATATATCATACCAAAACCAGATAAAAATAGTAAACTAGAAATAAATATTCAATCATAAATCAAGCATTTGGCTCCAACAATCAGCAATGAAAAATGATAGATATACTTTACATTTAGGAAAACTTACTTTTATGACTTTTATTTCTGTCAGGCTTAAGTGACAAGTTGGAAAAAGACAGATTCTCTTGCATTTAAAAAAAAAACAACACAAAACCGCTTAAAAAGGACCTCATCTATTTATTTATTTTACAATTTTGTAAACAACAGCTGCTGATTAAACTGGATTTTACAACAGTGAAATTATTATATGAGTTGTCTGGAATTTAGTCAGAGCTTCACATCACTGGGACGTCAGTCTGTTTAGCAACAGCTAGTGGTGAGGACTTCTTCTGTACAAGAATGCTACAGGCTGCTTTCCTGCGTATGCTGACACCATCTGGTGAACTCCAGTACTGCACATTTTACTCAGCTCAGCGAGATCTGGAGCTCTTGGGGAAACAGCTGTAGCCCAAGTAGCCACCCCCTAGATCCGCCACTGTCAGGGACTAATAAAGGGATTTTAGAAGGTTATTGAGGCTAAAAGTAATCTTACAAGTAATTGAATTTAAAAATTGTCTTTATTATGCCCCAAACTGTTAAACATGAATAATCTGATCTAAAATCTATCAATAAAAAAGAAAGATTGTGTAGAATATTAAGAACATAAATATAGTGAGAACATTCATTGGTTGCAAATCTTACATTTATTGTTTTTAAAAGCGTTATCCATTTAAAATCATTGTAACAAGAGCTGACCTAATGAAGATGCAGGGATTTAAAGAAACCTGTGGTGTTGCGATGCTTTAATCCATTACTCATTCCTCATCACTGCGTCCTTACAGCAGCCAGCTGACATTTATCATGCTCTCTGAGTCACGGGTTCTTCCACTTATGTTTTGGTGTTGATTCTTCCCCTTTCAGATCATTGAGCTGGCTGTAAATACCTGTTTTTCATGTTGAGCTTTTCTCTCTCTCTTTGTCTGGATTCTCTGTCCAGAATAACCTTTTCTTTTTAAAGAGGCAACCTTTTATTTCAAAGTTGTGTCCTGCTGTATTTTTCTTAATAGAATAGTATATTTCTTTTGAAAAGATGGGGAAGTGAGAACGTGAACCAAAAGGTATTCAATCAATACAAACCCAGAGGTTTGACTCTGACTCAGAAGACAGACCCTGAGCTTCCATCTACCAAGACCTAAGTCACATTTCTAAAGACAGGAACTTCCACATCTTTGAAAAAAACTACAGCCGGTTTAAGAAAGGCGTTATAAGCTGAAAAACAACTTTCACCACGGGAGGTGACGTCAGGGCCTTGACTTCTTTCCAGGCACCAAGCTGGTTTACCTAAAACACTGAAACAGCCCACCAGCAAGAAAGTCCGCTGGGTCATTGTCCCAGTGAGCTATACGGAGTCCCAGCAGTGATTTATAAACAAAAAGCTCCCCAACTATGATCTCAACTGAATAAATAATCAGTCTGAGGCGTCAATGCTTTCAGAAAATGATCCATTTGTCTTTAGGTTGAACAGTGAAAGTTTTCATTCATGAAGATAATAGAAATTATCAGAAAAATGTCAGACGTTTGGGCCATAAAAACCACTAAGGCCTGTTAACACTCTTTCAGCATCAATGTACACCATTTAAATTTATGAAGAACATTAATCAAAATGTTTTTAAACGTTGCAGCAAATAGCTTATCTAGGTATTTTTTTTTTTTAGCAGTATTTAAATGTCTGCTATTTCATGTTTTATTGATGGATTTTATATGAAACATTCCAACATATTTTATTTTTCTGTTTATTTCTAAAGTCAAACTAACGAACTATCTGTTCAGTAATATTTAACCCACATATTTGATTAATTTGACCTAATCAGTGAAACACTTCTAACTCTTTCTTATGTTTTTAACATTTCTTGACATCACTTCCTTTATTTTATATGTTTGTCTATAAGAAAAGAAATGCAATCATTTTAAAATAGCTTTAGTTTTTACCATAAACTGTTTAAATAACATTAATAATTTAATTAATAGTAAAAATGTGTAAAGATAGATTACTCTGTTTGGTCACTTCTGCTATTTATTTGAATATCACTATTTCACTCACTATTTTGGAGCCACCTTGTCCTAATGTGGAACTGTCTGTTCATCAGAAAATGTATCATTTTAGTTTATTTTTGTTTTAATAACTGTGATTTTATATTAATCAGAATTTCTTTACAATGTACTTTTTACCCGGTCAGATGCAACACAAAGGCTAAAACAGAACAGGTTTACAATTAAATATGAGAAGCATTTAAATTGACAAAATAAATATTTAAAATAAGTAACTATTGGTTATATGAGGTGGTAAAAATCAGATAAATTAATAATTTTTTCCAGGATCAGTATCTGTTGAAAGAAGCAACATAAATAATAAAGATATATTCATAAAAAGACTAAAGTAATGTTATATGGCCTAATAAAGAAACTAAATGTATAAACTTAAGACTTTAAAATGTTCTGTTCTGTAAAGATGTTCTGATAATAAATTATTTGACAGGTCATTTGATTATATAAAAATAATAATAATTATAATGTAATTTGAAAGCAGGGCTGAATCTTTTTTTCATTTGGTTTTACTTCCATCGTTTCAACCCAAAGTTTTTCATCTCTTTATCTCTCTCCGGGTCTCTGTTCTGTCCCGCTACATCTATTAGATTCAGCGGTTTGATTCATCCTTCTGACTGTGAGTCAGATGTTTTCCTCAAGCGTTTTGGAACCACAACCCATCTCACCGTTGAGTGGCTTCTGCCTCTCTTTAAAAGCTCGGCTGTACCTCATCATCAGAGCCGTCTGTCTCTGCATGTCCTCACACCGTCATTTAACCCTTGGCTGTCTCTCAGACGGTTTTCACACTACATGTTATTTCCTGGATTTAGAGGCCATTCTGACCTCAGATCATCAGAGGCTGGATCCATCTGCCTAAAGTAGCAATATAAGATCATTAAAATAGCGTCTCTAAGCTTATATTAAAAGTTGTTAATTAGCCCGTTAGGAGTTAGCATGGTCAGCAGCCTGTAGCTTACTGTGCTATGTTTATCTTACAGATTCTAGATTATGAACCTAAACTGTTAGAAAAAAAGAGGATAAAACAAACTGAAGTGTTTTCTCAAAAAAATAATGCAACCCTTTTGGAATTTATTTAATCATATTTTGTTGCTTTAACACATTTCTTTCATGTTTACAGTGTAGGACATTAAACAATTGTGTTAAAATAACTGAATATGATTAAGTTGATGCCAAAAAATTTTTTTTTTTGTCAGTGTAGCCTTCCTGTTCTCTGCTGCACATCTCGCTTTTTCTTGCAACTGAAACACGTTCCTGCCACTGAAGAAAAACAGCATCTATGCTGATAAGATCTAGCATGGTGCAAACAACCAAAAGGAAAAAGGATGTTTGAGTTTCTAAACAGACTGAGAAGGATGTGTGATTCTGGTCATCGGTTGACTTCTTGGTTCGTCACTTTACCAAAAAAAAAAAAAAAGGCTTTTGAAATACATTTAAGAAAAAGACTTAGACAACTTCATATTCTGGTAGATGACTCATGCAACAAATGATCCATCTAGTTACAGACTGGTGGCCTGAGTTGTTCGATAATCAAAGAATTTGTTTTCTGTCAGGTTGAAGAAGCCCGCCCAGAGGAAGAAGTACGGTCTACTGTCAAACTACGACGACTCGGTGGAAATGGAGGCAGTGGAGAGCGAGGAAGACGACACCCTGTACGAAGCTCGCAGCCTGCGCAGGTCAGAGGTCAACTTCACACTTGGCAAAACGTTTCTGTTGAAGCCTCGTTTTTCTGCATTGCTGTCATTCCTCTTCTAAAACAGAGACCAGCAGCAGTGGCTTTGAGGCTTAAACTTGCTTTTATTTTTCAGACAGTTAAAAAATCAGCATCAATGCTGTTTTTAAACTGTTCAGGTCTATAATATTTTAATAACACCAGGATTGGGGGGGACCCTTACTCAGCATGCAGTGGAGAAGGATCCGTAATATTTTGTGAATTATAAAAATTTCTAATACTTGATATATAATATTATTTAACCTTGTCTATAGACTTATTTAATATATAGTAAATAATGTATTAAACTGTATGAATACATTAAAACAATCTAAAATATGTTAAGTGGCCTCTTTGAAATATTGCATTACTCCAATTAATACTATTATTCACTGATGATCTGTTATCTCGACTGAAGGTGCGTATAAAGTAAATTAATAGTTATTCCCTAAAACAAAATCCGAATAAGAACCTAAACCAACTTTTCTTTTTGTCCATTTGTTCTTTAGCTCTCAGGATTACAGCTTTTAGTTAGCTGTGACATATCAGAGTATCTTTCAATAGGTTATCTATGTATTCTATATGCTTACATTCTTCTTCCATGGTCCTAAAATAACACCCTGTGAGTTAAGTGGACTTCCTTAAAGGTGACCTATGAGTTCCTGGAAAGTCACCTATAGTAATATAACTACTAAAAGTATTTTTATATTTGATTTGTTCAGTATAAATTATTATGTTTTCCCTAATTTCCAAAAACTCCTATAAAAGAAAATCTAAAAATAGATTTTTTTTTTTAAATATCTCCAGATCTAAGCTCAGACTAGGAGATCTTTGAATTTGTTTGCAAGATGTTGGATGATTGATCAGAGCAGAAAACATGAGAGAATTTGATCAATAGAGCTTCTGAACTTTGTTCTGCAGGATGATCTGATCAGTGTAATCTTTTGTACAGATGAGTCCTGCTGCGCCACGTCCAAAGGATCAGAGCCGCTGCCCTATCAACAGGCCGTATTGATTCCGGACCAGCTGGAAGAGGACGAGAACAGACCAAACAGTCGCTGAAGATAAAAAGCCAAAAAACTTGAAGCTGCTTGAAGAAACTGAGCAGGATAATCATTCTTTTTTTAAATGTGGGGTTGGATGTTAGAAATGCTGCTTTCAAGAAGCAGATGGAACAAGTTGGTGGATCCTCCTGAGACCAAACCTTTCTCTTATCTTTCTTTAAGATCGTTTGTTTTTTTCTTTAGAATAATTTCTTTAGGAATTCTTTTGTTGTATTACTTCATCTTGAGTATTTTTGAGTATTTTTGGGTCTGACTTTGCGCTTTGAACTACTGACATGCTGCCGTGCAGAGAGACCCCTCCCTCCCAGCAGGGGGCAGCAGGGATTGGTCGGGATCTGTCCTTCATCCTGCTCAGATAACGAGTGTTTGGAAGCCTGTTTGGTATTGATGTTGATTTTCTGGCATATTCAAGTCGAAAGGATGACAGTAAAACTTTGTACATATATCCGATTTCTAATGACTTTTTCAGGCTCTTTGATGTCACCTTTAACGATGTGATTAAAATCTTATTTTGAATAAAGAAATAAATTATCACTTCTCTAGTTTACATATTTTAGTATGACTCTTGTTACCATTATATGTTGCTTTGCCTTTTCCTGTAACTATATCTGAATAGGTGCTAAATGTGTTAAAGCATAAATTGACAAATGAATAAGAATATGAAATTCAAGATAAACTGTTAAAGTCAAACTAGAAGATATACAGCCAAAAAAAAAAATGCTAAAACATCTAATAAAGTGAAATATTGACAGATGAATCTAAGAATGAGTTTTAAAATATAACCGGATATTATAAGAAAGGTTGAGGACTATTTAATATTCATCCATTTACTGTCATTTTTTATAATTTATTTTAAACAAATCTACACCTAAAAATCCTAATAGAATCTTAAAAAAATATTAGTAATTTTAATAGCTTTCTTGGTTTTTATTCATAAACCCTATAAATAAAAATATTGTACAAGATAATAAAAAAAAAATCTATCACTTTTATGTTTGACCAAACCTTTATGATTAGTACTGTAGTGGCAGGGTTCTTCCAGCAGGGGTCACTAGTCGCCCAACTTTAACTCCATCTTTGTTCATTCAAAAATGAAAACAACGGCTTGATTTTCAGCTAACTAAAACTTATCTTTAACATTTACAAGAAGGAAATAATTTATTTCTTATAAGATTTTCAAAATGAATTATTATACCCTATATAATGTAAAAGAAAAAATATCTAAATATTGCCTCTTCAGTGAATATCAAAACACTAGAATTTCATCTGAAGTCTTCTAATTTTTAATTAGATATTTTTCTGTTTCTGTTGGCAAATTTTAAATATATATATATATATATATATATATATATATATATATATTAATTTTTTTTCAAGCAACAATTAAAAGATTCATAAATAAAAATCAGTAGGATCACACAAGCTTGACCAAATATATGTTACTCCTATGATGAATTACAAAATGTGCCAATAATGTTCTAGAATAAAAAAAAAAAGATGAATGGATTATGCCAGTTTTTTAGAAATGATTTCTAAAAAAACTTCTTACGGAATGACTATGACCTGGATGACTGAGAACCTTCATCAGCATAGAAATGATTAAGAAATATGTTTAGTGAAGGCTGTCGCTTTACATTTATGCATAGTCAAATACTCTTTTTTTATTTCCACATAAAACATTTTTTTTATAAATAACAGCAAAGTATCAAAGTTGATGTGTGTTGCACATAAATATAAAATTACACAATAGGAACTTTAGTGGGCAATGTAAAGGTATTTAGTAATTATAATGTTCATGATGTTATATAATTTTTTATTTTTTTTTTTTACAGTGTCCTGTCTGGCATTGTGGCAATAAGAATAATTGTCTTGATCCAAAAGGAGCCCAACAGATTTTACTTTCACAAGTGTTGCGGTATGGCAATTGCCATACTGCTCCACTTGTTTCATGCATATAAATTGCTTTATTATAATTATGCAGGGAGTTTTACAGTTTATATGGACACTGCAATGTAAGTAGAGCAGAAAAACAGAAGAAGAAAAAGGAAGAAAAAAAGGAGAAAAGATGAAAGAAAGAGGAGATAGAAAGGAGACAATGACAAAACATTTTCAGTCTGCTTCATCACCTGTAACGAGATGAAAAAAGAACAGCACAACCAAAAGACATGGTACGAGATATACAATTAAGCAACACCTTGAAACTATCGCTAAAGTTATATTATTAAGTCTGACATGTACTCTGTGTTACCTGAAGATATGAATGTGGGGTTTCTGTTTGGAAGTGAATCTCTAAGTACCTGAAGCCTAGCCTGTTATATAATTTGATGTTTTTTGTGAGTCATCAAAATCCTTTAAATCCCTGGATTTTTTTAGTTCTGAAAAAATAAAGAATAAAATTAATCACAAAATGAGTAGAAATATGCATTCATAGACCAGATGTAAGTGATACAAACATATTTTACAGCTTTGGTTTTGTCGTAATTAACATTGATGGTATGTGATGTTTAAATGTTCACCTCATGGAGATGTTGCACAGATCAGAAAAGTGTTTTAGCAGATTTATAAACCTCAGAGTAAAGGATAATTTCCAAATTACATTTATTTGTCACTTTATGACTGTATGCTCCTGTGTGAGAGGTAGCAAAGCATTTTCCCACAGTACGGTCTGTCAGGAACACACATCACCGGTGGCTGTGAAGAGCTGGACCGTCACTGTAAGTAGCCAATGATGAGTGGGTGTGGAGCTAATGACTGATAAGTATCTGAGCCAAAGCAGAGAGAGAGGAAACGATAACAGGAACGACGGCTCCCAGAGGAGCAGAGGGGCGTGTTTCAATTACGGAGTCTGTGTGTGATGCTGGTTCTCCCTCAGTTCCCAGCTCGGCCTCATCTCATCAGAGGTTAAAACAGCTCCTGAAGACACAGATGCAGATATGTAGTGTAGAAATTTGCAGTTTAGGTAAACAATGTAGAAGATCCCCTACCAAAGGTGTTTATTTAGGGCCTTTCATTGATGTGAGAGAAAAACGTAAGTACATGTGACGATGCAGCAGCTTTCAAATTCCCATTAGCAGGGATAACTGTCAGCAGCTTTTTTTCTCACCTTGTTGTGGAGCAGTTTTAACTTCCCTGATTCTGCAGTTCAGTTTGGTCTGCTGTCATTTAGACATGTTTGCTTTGAACTTAAACTAGGCCCCTGCAGCACCTTGATTGACTAACTCATCTTTGAGTGAGTCAATCAACTCTGCAAATCCTTGGTATGCATAAAGGATTTTGGTCCAATCAATGGCTGCAACATGTTCAGGTCTTTTAGCTATAAAACAAGCTCAAGTCCTCAGTCCGCCACCATCGACTCAGCACCTAACAGTTGTTACATGATTTCTGTCCAGCTGTATTAGCAGTTCCTCATCATCCCCTGCTACAGGTTTTTGCTTTGTTCAGATGCATCTTTGAAAATCTAAGTCATGCCGCCTTATTCCTAGAGAAGGTCAATTCATTCAGACACATCTGTAAAATAGAGGGTTTTTTATGAATACATTTTAAATGAAATACATTTTAAAATTAAAGAAATCACCAACCATTACAATGGAAAAATACTGCTGTACAATAAGGCAAGCCTTTCCATAAAAATTAAAAAAGGAAGTAGCCCACTTTAAAATCTAAGGCTCATAAATTAAAGCTAAAGAAATCTAAATTGCTTTAAAAAGCAGTGCCATCACTGCCCTTCTGTTGTAATTATTCTATGTAGATAGTTCATAAAAACATGCTTTTATAACCTCAAATAATCTTAGTTTTATGAAAGTCACAGTGGAGGGGCCAATGAAGCATGTTTGGCTCCTGAGCTGTGGAGTCCAGACACCTGTTCTAAGGGGGACTCTGACCCCTCTGCTGGGTTTTTCTTTTTTTTTTTCCTATCTGACTTCCTAACTATCAAGACCTGACCTCTACTAGCTGCTGCCAGTAGATGCTGAAATTGGCCCCTTGGGGTGTTTAACATTTCTCTGAGTTCCATTCTCTATCCTTGGAGTAAATCTGCAGTGATTTCAACTCCTGCCAAACTCCCTTAAACAACAGGAAAAACCTTTCTCCCAGTCAATAATCTAACGTGATTAGTTGGTTTTACTACACAAATAAACTAATGCAAGCTCCATGGCAGAGAGGTGAAAAAGATCCTGCTGTGATTGTAACAATAAGTTTGGGTTGAGTTGGTTTGGGTTTTGTTTATTCCTTTTCAAAACTCTGCAAAAGGCTAAGTTTGTGATTAGTTTGTTTTTTGCAATTAATGTATGTTTGTTTGTGTTGTTGAGTTTTACATATTCCTATTTTATAGAATTCAGTGTAATCTTGGGTGTCAAGTAAACATCAGAGCAGGTCATTATGATACATCTTGCATAAAAAACCTGAAAGTCAATGAGCAGGAACTCTATGGAACGGGCATATAGATTATGGATCAAACACTGATAGTAACAGGAATTTAACAAGAAGGGTAAAAAAAGACATATGTACTTAGTTGCACATTGCATTACTCATTGTTTTCCGTACCTAGTAAATGCACATAAACCATAAATTGTTCCCATATTGGTGCTGAAAGACCTCTACTACCGATATTCTATTCTATTTTTCCCCAGCTCTGTCACAAGTACAGAGCAATGAAATGAACTCTCTGTATTTTACCCATCCTCATGGGGAGCAGTGGGCTACCACTATGTGGCGCTCGGGGAGCAGCGTGGGGTTCAAGGGTCTTGCTCAGGGAGCCAGAGTGGCAGATCCAGGCTCAAACTCAGAACTCCAACCGCGATATCCTAACCACTAGGCTGCCACTCCTCAAAGCAGGCATTAGGGTGAAGGGTCTTGCCTAAGGACCCACACTGGCAGCTTATTCCACCCCATGATACGTACTTACCACTTGAGCTAGCCGGCTGCTATTCTATTCTATTCTATTCTATTCTATTCTATTCTATTCTATTCTATTCTAATAGCACAAAAAGAATACATCTGATTGTTTGGGATAACACTGTGATTTATTGTTTTAAATATAATTACAACTTATTAGTTTAGAGTACCTGAAGTTCAAGCATACATTTTCCTGGGACTGAAGCACAATCCATGAGACTGAGGTGGGAACTGAAGCCTAGCCAACATCACACCATCACTCTTTCAGACCGCTCTAATTGAAACACGCCCCCTGGCTCCTCTGGGGCCTGTTGAGCTGTTATCGCCTCTGCATGTTAAGCTCTCTGATTGGCTGAGATGTTTATCAGTCCTTAACACACCAGTATTCATTGCCTTGTTAGGTATGCTTCCCTCTCCCAATTTGTTTTGATGGGGCTCATTTTAAAGAGAATTATCATAGATACAACAAGTGACAATTTAATTTAAAATGAATATATAGAAAAATAATTATTGTCTTTTCTAATTTGAGGAAATCATCCTCAACAACAATGACGCTGCGCTGAGAGTAATAAACTGGCGCTTGATGATGTGCTTGATGGTGCTAAAGATGTCTGCTTTGACTCATTTTAAATAGGCAGCTCAGTTGTGAGGATTACCGTAAATTTGTTACGTAGTCTCTTACCTTCTGGAATTAAAGCAGGTTTTTCAGAGAACGAGAAAGAAGAATTTCATTGAAATTCAGACTTTAGAAATTCATTTCTCCAGCTAAATACTTAACCCTCATGGATAAAAGGGAGAACAGTTTTCATGGAAAGAGTTTGGTAGCAAAAAAATATCTCTAACAGTGCAGTGCACAAAAACATTAAGATATAAAAAAAAATGCACATGCATATGTCTGTGCACCTTGGCTATATACATCCTAATTCACGTAAAACATTGGACAGCAAATATTTTGTGTCTATGCAGGTTTTACACATGTTGGATGTTCTTGAATCTCAGAAGTCTGGCTTCCCAACCTCTACCCTTAATTCAGAAATGGCTGACTTACGCATTAATAGTGAATTTCACTCTACTACTAAACAATCTTTATCTTTGGACCTCACCCAGAACATCTCATCAAAGAGTCACACCTGTATTACTGTACAAGCTGTTTTACTGCTTTAAATAAACATGGTTAGTTTATTTTGTCTGTTTTGCAAATAAAAGGGATGCATGTTGGCAAAGTTTATATCATTAAAGCTCCAGGGTTTGATCCTTGTTCTGAAGTGTTTCTGAACAGAGTTGACATGTTTTAACCATACATGTGTACATTTTCTCTGGAAGTTCCTGCCCACAGTCCAAAAACAAAACTATTAGAATAATCGGTGTGTCCATATTGCTCAATTAAAGGCTGGGTGTGTGTGCATGGTTGTATGTCTCTATGTTTTTTCTATGACTTGCAACCTATCCAGAGTGTCGAGATGTCCCCCTTAACCCAAACAAGCAGAAAAAGATTCATTTATATTTTGCCATTAATAGGAAGCCGGAGTGGCCGGAGAGAACACACGTATACACAGGGAGAACATGCAAACTCAATGCAGAAAGACCTCGGGCCGGGAATTGAACCCGGAACCTTCTTGCTGCAAGACAGTGCTTTTGAGGAGTTCCAACCTGCTGTTCTTTAAATGTTTGCTTTTATTCTTGCAAAATGTAGGAAATATCTATCTTTAAACCTTGGCAAAACTGATAAAGAACTAAGAGATATGAAACTATAAAGCCAGTTTTGGCATATTTTTCATGCTATTTTCCATGCTAGATTTGCATAGAAGATAAAACAATAATTTTTTTCTGTTTCAATCTTATGCTTTTGAGCACACTATGATCAAAATAAAATATCGAAATATATGAAACATGTAAAAGAAAATCTCACAAATCAGTTGAGGAGATGAAATATCAAAGGAGTTTGCAAAGAAAAGTTCAACTGCAAGGTTCAGTCTGACTGTTAAACTGAACCAAGTAGCTTTTCTTAACACAGTTCCTTTTGACTAAATAAAAATAAAGTCTAGTTTTCTATTCTAGTCACTGTGAAGTTTTTCATCTTTATAATTTATTATATAGTAATAATAAATTCAGGAAACAACTCATTTATGTTCATGGCTTTATTTGTGTACATATAGCTGATTAAAAACATTTAATTGTATCATAGATAGAAAAAATCACAGAACAACAAGAGATTTTTCTAAACATCACAAAGAAAAAAAAGGTGTGAAGGAACAAAATAAAACTTCAAAAAGCACAAAATCTTCCTTTAAAACTAAGGAAACTGAACCAGCTTCCTGGTTCTTCTGCTAAACGCCAGAACTTTAAAGCCTTGACGTTAAATCAGAAACTTTCTACTGAGCAAAAGACAGATGTGAATATCACATGGAGTCACTTCTTAAAGGGCTGTTTCTTTGAAACAAAACATTAATGACAATCCTAATTATCATTATTCTAACAATAACCTCACTGTAATGTATAGGACTCAATCTACAACACAGAGGATCATCCTCCACCAAGCTAAATTTCTTTAATACAGAATACAGGCTTTAAACACATAATGGATGCTTCCATTTGAGTTTCCACACAAAACCGGTCCACTGGTTTCTTTTACTGCCAGCGGGTTCGGATCAGTCCAACATGGAGTGCAGGTAGAGGTGCAGCTGATTCTGCTCTTCTGAAAGACCATCAGAGTCTCCATCTTCTGAACTCTGGTTCCAGCTGGAGTTTGGTGAGAACACGCCCTCCAGTCCCTCATCATCCCCTAGGCTCCCAGCCCGGCCCCTGGGGGCCACCCTGTGGTCCTGATCAGTCAGGAGCCGGTCCAGGAAGTTGATGTACTTCAGAGCGTGTCGCAGGATCTCGTTTTTGCTCAGCTTTCTGTCAGGTGGGTGTGTGGGGATGAGGCTCCGCAGCTCAGCGAACGCCCCGTTGACATTCTGCTGCCGCCAGCGCTCCCGACTGTTGGTGAAGACCTTACGGACAACCTGGGGATGTGACCCTGAGGGACAGAATAGGACGGGTCAGGAGGAGTCCAGAAAAGATCCAAATGACATTTCAATACCACATGAAGAAGAATAGTGATGCAAATATAACAGACTAAGGATTCAAAGACAGAGACGTTGGATGTTTCACTTTAGATGTTAACTGGAGAAATATACATTTTTTTCATATTCCAATAAACACTATATAATAGTAATGCACTTGATAATTTAAACATTTTTTTATCATTTTTGGTATATCCATCCATCCATCAGTTTTCTGACAAGCTTTAGGGGTAAGTGGGGTTGCGAGGTGTGCTGGTGCCTATCTCCAGCTGTCTATGGGCAAGAGGTGGGGTACACCTGAACAAGTCACCAGTCCATCGCAGGGCAACACGGAGAGAAACAGGACAAACAACCATTCACACACACACTCACACCTAAGGAGAATTTAGAGAAGCCAATTAACCTAACAGTCATGTTTTGGGACTTTGGGAGGAAGCCGTAATACCCAGAGAGAACCCACGCATGCTATGGGAGAACATGGAAACTCCATGCAGATAGAACCTGGGCTGGGAATCGAACCTGCAACCTTCTTGCTGCAAGGCAGCAGTGCTACACTGAGCAGCAGCCCCTCTTTTTTTTTTTTTTTTGAAAAAAAAATTATTTTGGTATAAAGTAATGGAAAATACAAATAAAAAATAATAATGAAATATAGAAAAAAAAATTCATATTCGCACGTTTTATTTGCATCCATAAGATGCATCTAAGTAAAAGTGTTTTTTTAAGGTGAATATAAACTAAACAGACATAATGAATTAAAGCATGTCATCATTTGAACCTAGAGACTTAATGAGCTCACCTTCACTCAGGGTCTTCCTCTCATTCGGACCTCCTCTCTGCTTCATTAGGATGCAGGTCTCTGAATCACTGAATAATAGAAAAAAATATCACCGTTAATTATCATCATGACGTCAACAATAAACTTCGTTAGACTGAGAAGCTCCTGACCAACATCTGAAATGAAGAAAAACAAACTGCATATTTTCTGCTTCTTGGATGATCTGCTGTCATTTTTCTCACCTGTGGAATCCACGCGGCTGATGGATGATGTCTCCCTGTGGTTCCTCGGTCTGCCGGAGGACTGTCAGCAGATAATCCAGACTCATGTGAGGCTGAGGGTCCATCTGAGATCTCTCTGTCCCACCGCTTGTTTTTATAGCGACCAACAGACCCCCCCCCCCCCCTCCCTGTTTGTCCCTTGGGGTGTCGTGTCGCGTCCTTTCCGGGCTGGTTATGACAGCCCCATTAGAGGACTCGTTAAACTCTGGCTCCCAGGAAGCGGCCCCCCTGGGACCTGCAGGAGCCAAGGATCCGCCCCCTCCTGCAGGAATCGTGTTTTCCTGCTACTATCGCCTTCTTCCTTCGTCACGACCTCCTGCACATCGTGCCCCCCTCCCCGGCCTCTTTAGGATAAGCATGTGTGATTTGTACTTTACCTTTATGGACATTTATTTGATCATTTGTTGAATAGCGCAAATTCAATTCAATTCAGTTTATTTCTATAGCACCAATTCACAACACATGTCATCAAGGCACTTTACAGTTCAACCAGATCATCCAGTCAGTTTGATTCAAAGTTTTCTATCTAAAGAAAACCAGTTGATTGCATTGACTCATTGACTGGAATACAATCTCTGACACTAAGCATGCTTGTAGCGACAGTGGAGAGGAAAAACTCCCTTTTAACAGGAAGAAACCTCCAGCAGAACCAGGCTCTGTGTGAGCGGCCATCTGCAGAGGCTGACTGGGGTTCAAGGAGACAGGAGCAGAGATACAAAAAGCAGCTGTAAAAGGCGACCCCATCCAGGAAACACACAACCAGGCAGACGAGCTCTGAGCCAGCTCCCATGCCAGAGGATGAAGAGAGCGCATCCAGTTAGTCACAGTCAGAGAAACAGGACACTGGAAAAATTCAGTAATAGTAATTACTGTACAGAATTAATGATCAAAAAACAAATACATATTTATGATTTTGTTTTTCATTTTACAGCAATCACTCATTTTCAATTGTTCTGGAAAGTCCACATCTATCTCCAGGGAGATTATAGGATATTGTCTTTCACTGCTACATCTATTTAGGAAGAATCTTCCTGTTTTAGGATAGCGTACTGCTAGTCCCAGTTATAAAATAAACCTTTACATTTCAGGAGGGACGGAGCAAGATGGGGAGCTAGGGGTGGCCATTACTGACAGCTTTTTGCACAAAGTGTACAGATTAAATAATATTTCATTAATTACAGTACATGTCTATATTTTGTAAAATTAGTCTTGATCAATAGCGCTCCTGAAATCCTGAAAGTCCTTCATGGAGTTCTTTGAAATTTAGCTGTTTTTTAAAGTGATTTCATTTCTGCTCCTTATGGTTGATTGTGGCAACTAACTGTTTATTATTTGCCTTTTATGTTAGGTAAAAGCTCTCCTTCTCAACCTGACTCAGATCTGAGAGATGAATCCTTCAATAAAACAGAAACCTTTCAGGAAGACATGATCTATATTACTATTCGGGTTGGAAGAGAAAATCTTTCACAATCTTTTTACAGGAACAGTTGTGGGTCAGTTTTTGACTTCTCTGTTTCCCCTTCATTGTTTCTTCCAGCCCTCTGAAGATGGCCAGGAGACCACCTGAGTTTTTTCAGAACCCAAGTTGTTTGACAGTCAAAGTGACAGATTTTCTCAGTTAGATATAAAGTTAATCTGAGGCATTTGCAACATCTTCTCAAATTCAGTTTGAAGCTCTTCAATCCCAGTCCTCAAAGTTCAGTGTTTTTCACCTTTAAGTTGAGACTTTGCTTCACGCTTCCATCCCCATCTTGTTTAAATCCTTTAAAATGGTTTCATGCACACATGCTGCTAACATGGAGGTTTTTGTTTCCCTGTTATTTTATCACAAATGAGCACAAGGGTCCATGTATTAAAGCCGCCTGATTAAAAAATGCTTTCTGCAGCAAATGAAAGTGTATGAAAAAGAGCTGATCCAACAAATTAAAAATAAATAGGCCCTTCTTGTGAATTTGATGGTTATTATTCACAGAGAATAAAAATCTAGAATATTACACAATATAAGTAAAACTAACATTTCAAACTTCTGAAAAGGGTCAACTTTGATTAACTCAATACTTTTTGTGAGTGACGGTAGAGTCAGATGCAGGAGTTTCCCCTGCAATCAAAGGGTTGTTGGTCCAAGTCAGCTTTAAATGCCTAGTCCTTTCGCAAGACAACTCACCTGCATTGTAAACTGATGGTGGTCACCACTGAAAAAATCAAAAACGCTATGCAAGTACAGGCATGTTAACATTTACTATGTTTGAGGTCCTTTTTGCACAAACTACTGCATCACTGCACCATGCATGGAGGAGATCAGCCTTTGGTTCTACTGGAAGCCCAGGTTGCTTTGATGAACTTATTATTGTGATGAGCCTATAAATGATAATATTACCTAGATCAGGGGTCACCAACGTGGTGCCAGCTGGCAGAAATGGGCCCTAAGGGGCCTCATGGGGTGCCCAAAGCATTTTCTGAAAACAGAACAACTCACTACTGGCCTAAGATTGAAATTTTTATTTGATTCTGTTTCCCTTCTTTTTAAATAATTTATTGTGCATTTCATCATTTGAATCATACAGCGTATTCATCATTTTTTATAGATTTCAAAATGACAATGTGATAAAGAAAATGAGGAGTTAACAAAAACAATAAAAATATGTTTATTTTTTATGAAATTAAGGTGAAGCTCCTTCCTTCCTTCCTTCCTTCCTTCCTTCCTTCCTTCCTTCCTTCCTTCCTTCCTTCCTTCCTTCCTTCCTTCCTTCATACAAATAAAAATATATTTATTAGTATGAAGTGAAGGAGGCTGAAGGTGAATGCCGATCCCTCCGGTAGCCCCACATGACTCACTGCTCATTAAGCAGCGCCAGGCCTTAAAAAGTTTGGTGACCCCTGCCCTAGATATTCTGTGATGTTCATGTAACTCCAGTCTACTGACCAATAAAGCCTTCTACCATCATGGTTACAGAACCAGCTTTTGGTACCTTTTGGCAGCATGGAGCAATAATAAGTGTTTATAAAGCTTGACAACAGAAGGAAGCAGGAAGTGTTCTAAAATGTCCTGTAGATGTTTGACTGTTGGCTTCAGAAAACCCAGGTAACCAGAACCAGCAGGGTACATTGTACCCCAAACCATCAGCAATTTGAGAAAAGTCCACTCTATTCTGTGCTTCTCCTCTCTTTCTTCAGACTGTTAAAATGTAATTTCCAAATGAAATGCAAACTCTACTTCCATTTAAAAAGAGGACTTGGACCTCTGAGGAAAAGTTATATTAATTTTAGCTCAATAATCCTCAAAGTTGCACTTATCCCTATTACTGATACACATTTTCATGCATGTTTTCCTTCCACTCAATTTTCTTCCACATGATGATGTCTCCCTGTGACTTAGACAAATTTTATTATAATTTTGTATGCACGGACTTGCATACAGCTTGTAACAGTTAATTGAGCAGCTTACAGTAGTGAAACAGTGAAATAAACATTACAGTTTGCAGCCAGCATTTTGTGACGAATGTAACAATAACAAGTTTCGTGTTTTGAAATGAGTGTCAGAAAACATTAAACCTGCTCAAAATACATCAATAGTTGAAGCTTTGCTTCTACATCGTCCAAAATGTTACAATGAGAGTTAAAATCTTTTTTGTCTCTTATTGAGGTTGTAGTAATCTAGACCAGACAGCAGGTGGCAGCAGAACTCTAGAAATCCGTCGAAAAATGTCTGCTGATCTGAGTCCGTTTGCCGCTCAGCCTATTGAAGGTGTTCAGAGAACAAAAACACACCAGTTAGGAAAATAATGTACCAACAGGACTGAGCTGGTGGTTTGAGGGTTGAAGCTCAACAAGTTAGAAACTAGCTCTTATAAAGAAAAGCATCAAAACAGTTAGGTTTGTTTCCTCTGCTGAGGAGTATCTTCATCTTTGAGGTCCATCTC